GTTGTAGCGCTTGATGGTTTTTGCGACTCCACTTGGGGACACATTTAAAGTTTTTGCAATTTTCCGGACTGACTGACCTTCATTTCTTAAAGTAATGATGGCCACTCGTTTTTCTTTAGTTAGCTGATTGGTTCTTGCCATAATATGAATTTTAACAGTTGTCCAATAGGGCTGTCGGCTGTGTATTAACCTGACTTCTGCACAACACAACTGATGGTCCCAACCCCATTGATAAAGCAAGAAATTCCACTAATTAACCCTGATAAGGCACACCTGTGAAGTGGAAACCATTTCAGGTGACTACCTCTTGAAGCTCATGGAGAGAATGCCAAGAGTGTGCAAAGCAGTAATCAGAGCAAAGGGTGGCTATTTTGAAGAAACTAGAATTTAAAACATGTTTTCAGTTATTTCACCTTTTTTTGTTAAGTACATAACTCCACATGTGTTCATTCATAGTTCTGATACCTTCAGTGAGAATCTACAATGTAAATAGTCATGAAAATAAAGAAAACGCATTGAATGAAAAGGTGTGTCCAAACTTTTGGCGTGTACTGTATATATACAACAGTTAGTTCCGACCAATTAATTTGATTGGACGAGAGGCATTCCGTGAGTGCTGATATAGAGTATAACATCACTGGAACTTGTAACAGTAAAATCATTCCGCTCACAGGTGTTTTAAATATAAATACAACCGTTAATTAACCAACTGTCACACTCGCTACATTGACGCAAACTGACACTATAGCGTTACACCAAGAAGATGGATATTTTCCCCAAAATTACATTTGAATTGAATTATATAACCTCAGTAAACTGGAGAGGAGCAAAAATTAAGCGAACATGGTCAGGAATTATCAATGATTATCTGATGAGGTACTGATGTGGATGAGGGAGAGTGGAAGCTGAATCCGGCCGTGCCAACATCCAGGTTTGCCAGCATTTCATCAGCCGAACTGGCCAAAGTTACACAGTTGCAGATCTATGTAAATACAAACTAGCTTGTGAGTTCCTGGCGTGTGTTCTGCGTTGCCTGGCAACAGACCGGGGGAACTGTTTTGTTTTTTTTTTTTGTTTTTTTTTTTGCAGAGTTACATAACATACTTAAATCATTTATTTCATCACCTTTTGTTAACATTTCCTTGCTCAGCATTGCTGTTTAAGCTGTTGTTGAACTGTTGTATAAAAGCAATATCACACTCAAGGTCGTGACGTTGTACTGTATATCGTCACGGCTGTAATTGTCACAGCCGTGACGATATACAGTACAACATCACTCCCTCTCGTGTGATATTACTTACATATATATATATTTATATGTACAGTACAGGCCAAAAGTTTGGACACACCTTCTCATTCAATGCGTTTTCTTTATTTTCATGACTATTTACATTGTAGATTCTCACTGAAGGCATCAAAACTATGAATGAACACATGTGGAGTTATGTACTTAACAAAAAAAGGTGAAATAACTGAAAACATGTTTTATATTCTAGTTTCTTCAAAATAGCCACCCTTTGCTCTGATTACTGCTTTGCACACTCTTGGCATTCTCTCCATGAGCTTCAAGAGGTAGTCACCTGAAATGGTTT